AATGTAAAATCTAATGTCCAATGACATGATTTTTTTTGTGAAAACACAAGCTATTTTTAAGGGTATTTTCTTATTTATTTATGAATAAATGTAGACATTTCCTAAGTTATTTGAGATGTTAGAACATTTGAACATTTTAATCAATTCATTTTTAGTTCATAGATATTCCTAGCTCCTGTTTTGGCAGTTTCTGATGACTTCAGCTTTTAAAAGTGCAAATATGATTCTCAGTAAAGTGTGAATGAAATAAGGTCTTGTAGTATATGAGGATTAATTTAGTTTGACCATTATTAAGTATGTAGTAAATTGTAATTAAGTGAACAGGTAATTAGCACTATCAGTTTTGTAATAATTCTTAATTGAATGCCTGCCATTCACAATAGTGGTAATCTATTTCATTATTCCATCCGAAGTATGGACTTTGGATAAAGTTTAAATTTAAATTTATACTATCTCCTAACTAAAGTTATTATTAATGCTTGAGAGCCAGAACCAAAAATTATTATTTGTGCTTTGCTGTGGAAATCAAGAATGTCATCTATGGTCAAAATTTATTCAGAAGCACTGAGATATTTTGTTTGTTTGTTTTAAGAGATTACAGGAATAAATAATTAAGTAGGGTAAAGATGTTGGCAAAAGTCCAAAATCTGAAGCCATTGTAACCATGTAGAACTGTGAACTCAAGGAAATAGCCTCTTCCAATCTCTATTAATAGGACACTCCAACATTTGTTGGAGTGCTGTGTATTTTTCTTTTTACATTTTTAAAATATTTACTATGAGTCTCTATTCCACTCATGCCATGATGGTTTTTTTGTTTAACTCTATAAATAAGTCGTTATAGTACTGAGAAGCAGCATTAATTTTCTAGGACTACTGTAACAAATAACAAATTGGGTAATGAAATAATAGATATTTATTCTTTAATAGTTCTGGAAGCCAGAGTTTAGAAATGAAATTGAAAGAGAGAGGAGAAAGATAGAGAAAGAGAGCAAGGGAGAAAAAGGAGGGGGGAGAGAGAGAGAGGGAGTGAGGGAGGGAGGGAGAGAGAGAGAGAACGAGCGCTTTTGGCACTTGCCTGACGTATAGCCAACCCTGGTTCTTCCCTCTGGCATCTTATATGGTCCCCCCAAGTACTTTTAGGAGTGATCACAGAGCAGGAATTTTAGTTCTGAATATAATCAGGTATAACCCCAAAAGAGCAACAATAACAACAAAATTAATCTAGAAATCAAGGTGTCAGTAGTCACATGGTCGCCAGAGGCTTCAGGAGATAAATCATTCTTTATCTCTTTCAGGGACTGGTGTCCTTCATTGTTACTTTGCTTTTGTTACATCACTATGTACTTTGTCTTTCTGGTCACATTTCCTCTTAGTCCTATCTTTTCTCCCTGCTTCACTCTTATAAGACTTTGTAATTTGCCTTAGGGCTCACCCAGATAATCCAGAATAAACTCCTCAAAATCCCTAATTTAACCATATAATTTGCCATACTATTCCTACGTTCAAGAAATTCTAGTGTCTCTTTGAGGGTTTGATCTTCAGCCTACCAAGGAAGCAAAATTCTAAGAATCCCTGTTGGAAAATATATGATATAAAAGTAACATACAGCTTGGGTTTAATAGACTAGGCATAAACTTAATTAAAATATGTTTAAAATATCAGATGCGATTAATTTTTAGAAGTCTCTCTCAAAGGATTTGGGGTAGAAATGCCCACTTTGGTTCTGGCATTTAGCTTTATAAAAACCAGAACTTGGACTGGATTTTTCAGTGGGCAGAGCACTTACCTTAGGCACTGAGGAACTAGCTTCAGTCTTTGGCCCCTGTATAGCTCCCTGAACACTGCAAGGTGTGTTCCAAAGCCCCCCAAACAAAAATAAATCACCAGGACACTTCAGGAACATATTTTTTAGAACAGCCTATGATCCTGGTGCCTTTGTGGAACTCTTACTTCTTCAGCTGCTGAGTTAGTAGGTCTGTGAAAAGACATAATCAAATTTTCTTGAGAATCCCAAGATTGTAGGAATAGTTCTTCTTTGTAGTTTTTACTACATAGAGTATTAAGATAAGATGTTTGTATAGCTTTAACTTTTGGTACTCTTTTGAGCTAGAATTTCTTTTCTGTAATGTCACTTGTAGTTTAAATTTCTTGGCTTTATGGTTTTCCACTGCCTTTTCACTTTTTTTGGTAAAAAAATTTTAGTGGCAGTGTGTTATATGTGTCAACATTTGAAAGAATAGCACAACTTAGTTAAATTAAATTATTAGATATTAAATCAATTAGAGCTCTCTAATCTAAGTGTCTAATGCTTGGTGCTACAAAATTATGCATTATGTAATAGATTAATTCACTGTACATATAAACCAGTGGATTTTCAGAAAATTTCTTATCTTTATTATAGACATTTTGTTAATATGCTTTTAAGTTCCAATTGCAGCTACCTTTTAGAAACTCATTTGTTAAATTCTTGTGCAACATATATTTTTAAAAGTCATACTATTGACTTTCTAATTATATTTCTCTTTAAGCCACACATTTTCCCTTTAAGACCACTAAATAGACCACTTCAACAGGTCGAATGCAGGTGTAATTCTGGCCATCTTCTGTTAGACCGCACATTAAAGAGGACTGCAAATATCTTACAGTACTGTTCTCACTATTTTTTTTATCAGAAGTTACTTTTATTGAAATGTTTAGTTGAATATGATATTTTTATGAAAATCATGGATTTCATAATTTTTCAAATTTATAGAATACATTGTGATGTGTATATTATATCTTATCAATCATGGGTGAAAGCATTTCATATATCAAAAGATATGTCACGGTCATGGTTCTCTCGTTCATCAGTTTGCTCGAGCGGGCCCAGTAACATCTCCAGCGTGAGACTTGTTGTTACTGTGTTTGGCATATTGAATACTTCACAGGTAGCTTGCCAGGCTTTGCTGTGTGGGCGAGATACTCTTGGTAGTTTGCGGGGCTCTCTGAGAGGGGCGGAGGAATCGAATTGGGCTCGCCCGGGCTGGCTGGGCGCAAGGCAAACGCCCTATCGCTGTGCGAGGTTCTTAAAACATCTAGGGGTGTGAAAAATCTGAGACTTAAAAAAAATCCTGACAGTTGCTGATTCAGAGGAATGATTCCAAATGGCATCCTGATTTCTAATTTTTGTTTGAGATAGTTATATGACTTAACATTGCCCTCCTCAAGTTCTTTACATCTTGTCACAAAAGGCAATGTTTCCTTTTTCCTTAACTGAGTGGGTAGTATTTCATTGTGTATATGTACCACAGTTTATTTCTTCACTCATTTGTGGGCATTTGAATTGTTTTAAGGTTTTGGCTATGCAGTAAACTAAGCATGCACACGTATTTTCAAATTATTGTCTATAGAGGCAAGACTTTACATTCCCACCAAAAATGTAGGAGGGTTTCTATTTCTCCATACCCCTGCCACTTGGGTGTGGTGTTTTTGATATAAACCGTATTCTCAGGTATGAAGTGGTATTTCATAGCCCTTGATTTGCATTTTCTGGATGATAAATGATCATGAGCATCTTTTCCCTGTGCCTATTCACCATTTTTTGTGTCTTCCTGCTAGTTTCTGTTCAGCCCTTTTCTCCATTTTTGGATGGTGTTGATTTCTGGTTGAGTTTCTAAGGGATTTATGTGTTTTGGATATTATTAGCCTTCTGTCATATGTATAGCTATAGTCCAATTTTTTTCCTCCTCTTCAAATGGGCTATCTTTTTGTTTTAGAAGTATTTCTTTTGCTGTGCAGAAATATTTTAATTTCATGTAATTCCATTTATTTATTTTTGCTTTAGTTTCTTTTGCTGTTAGCGTTGAATTCCTGAGTATATTATTGAAGCCAAAATAGCAAGAACAGTTTTGATGAAGTTTCTTCAACATATTTTCTGCATTTTTAGTATCACATATAAAATTTCATTCCACTTTGAGTTAATATTTGTGCATTGTATGAGATGGCAAGACAGTTTACATTCTGTGGTTTTAAAAATTGTATTTTGATAGCTTGGCGATACCATACCCAAATTTTAAAATATATACTTACTGATTTTTTTTTTTGGAGTTCAGCACTGTACTGTGTGTTCTTATAATTACGTTTATTTGTTGTTACTGTGTTTGGCTTTAAAGCTTTATCCTTGTCCTTTCATATCATTGACTTAAATTTATAGCATTGTATACAAGGTTATTTTCTCATTGGAAGCACTGTAGCACTGTCCTCCTGTTGTTCATTGATTTGCTTGAGCGGCCCCAGTAATGTCTCCTTTGTGAGACTTTGTTGTTACTGTGTTTGGCATATCAAATACGTCATGGGTAGCTTGCCAGGCTTTGCCATGCGGGCGAGGTACTCTCGGTAGCTTGCAGGGCTCTCCGAGAGGGATGGAGGAATCGAACTCGATTGGGTCAGCTGGGTTGGCTGCACGCAAGGCAAACGCCCTACCTGCTGTGCTATTGCTCCAGCCCATTGGAAGCACTAAATATTGCCAGTCCTGCTTAAATTGGTTATAGAATCATAGTTTAACATCAAAAATGTACCTTGCCTATTATAAGAAATGACAGTGATATTGGAAAAAGGAAACATATTGTCCCATTTATGATATGGTTTTTATTGAAATCCCTTGATATTTTGTGGATTATTTACAAAGACTTTTAAATTGCTGAAAATAATGTTGTAAAACTTTTGATAAAAAGAAAATCTGAACAAAATGTGTACTTAAGATGAATGATTTTCTGAAAAAATAGTGGTGTAAATGAAATATCAAAGTGAAATCATTCAAAACAAAACATGTTTGGAATTTTATTGAATATTAATTACATGCTTATGTACTTTTTTTTGTAAATTAAATTAAAAGAAAATTACCTAACTATATTTCTTAAGCTAGCATTTGCAGGGCTTTATATTATGCCAAAATTTATTTTTCACGTAAAAGCTGATGTTTATTTTTTCAACATTAACATGCATGCTTTTCTCATGCAGGAGAATATATAAAAAACTGGAGACCAAGATATTTCCTTTTGAAGACAGATGGCTCATTCATAGGATATAAAGAAAAACCTCAAGATGTGGATTTACCTTATCCCCTTAACAACTTTTCAGTGGCGAGTAAGTTTACTATAACTGTTGATTCACCTTTTTATTCATGCCTTTTTATTGGCATGTCCTTATGTCAGAAAATTGGAATGTCTACAAAAAAGTTTAGATTTTTGATGAATAGCAGAGAATTTTCAGATTTAATAGAATTTCAGTTTCATAGCATCAGTCTTATCAATAATATATTTTTTCATGATATAAGTGTTTGATATTTATTAGTTAGAATTTGAATATGATAAATGTGATAAATATAATTACTAAAGTATATATCTATACCTATGCATAAATATGTGTATGGATATGTAAAGTATATCTTTATACTTTACGTCTTTATAAAATGAAAACCAAAGATCTTTGAATTTAGTTGCCCCACTGAACTTGATAATAAGATGTTAAAATAGTTTATGCAATTATAAAATGTTTTTATCGTGATCTTAGCTCTTTTCTTTATTGATTGTATGATGAGAAACAAGCGAGTCATGTTAGAAATTATTTTGAGAGGAGATTTTATTTGTAGTAATTCTTCCTCAGGGATACCTAGCAAAATCTTTATATGTTAAACTTAATTAAAAGTTATGTTTTTGCTTGAATATAGCATGAAAATAACTGATGGTAATGATAATGGCAACAATTATAAACAAGCTCTTAAAGACTATTGAAGCTGCACAGTGAAAGGTTCTTTCTGTGTTAATTCAGAAGTAAAGTATATTAAAAGTTATGTTATGTAAAATAAACTAGTATAAGCCCTAAAGTATGTACAACTCAGATAAAAATCTTTAGATACTTTTAAGGTTTTTGCTTGTATTCTAGCTTCATTTGCAGAACATGAGGAAAACTGAAGCTAAAAAGTGCAGTAAAATAGCAATATAACAAATCCAAGATAACCAAAGTTCTTGAATATTACAAAAGTCACTTTGCAATATTATACACTGTTTTATACTTAAGTATAGTGTCCCAGCCTTTTACTATGAAGGCAATCTTGTCATTTTTTTTCTAAATAATACAAGCCAAAGGATTTGTGAAAACATTAAAATTGTAAGCATACCAATTTTTAAAGAAAAGTACCTTCTTAGAAGTGTATTCTTATGTATGAAATTCTGAGAAAATAAAAGGGAAATATTACATATTGAAATGGGAAAACATATATGTGTGTTTTTAGTTAAGGGGAAAAATTTCTACTACTCAAATGCTCATTATATTTATGTGGCTTTCTCTCAGCAGCAAATTATTTTTAAAATCCTGTCAAGTGAAATATCTTATATATTTTGTTTTGTCTAAAGAACACATTTTTATTATAGATATGTTGAGCGAGGATTTGCTTTAAAGTGATATAAATTGACTTCCAAAACATTAACAACATGTATTATTATATCCTACTTAAAACCAGTGGTTTCTTAATTTCTCTTACTCAAATACTATTGGTTTATCTGAAATAATTTATGAAAAGTACAGAACTCCTGTATCTGCTGATTAAAATGCAGCATTTTTTGACCTTATGAAATTTCACACCCCAACAAGTTTTAAAGACATACTGTATGTCACAGTCTGCCAACATCTGCTCTAACACTTCCACTGGCAGAGGCTGAAAAAATGCTGCACTCTTGGGGAGAGATTCTCTTTACTGACTGACAGTCAACTTATCCATGAAATAAATATTAGTTGACATCTGTAATCTTGGATTATCAAGTTGTTATAGATAGTTAATTCAAACTAGCAAGTAGAATTACAGACAACCTCATTAGTTTCCAGAAGTATTTTTAACACAGATCTCTCACTAAATAAACTTTGAAAATGGATTATTCTTAAAGCTTGATTTATTGCAACTTTAAATTTTATAAATAATAATTACTTGTAGAAATACTAAGTTTATTTAATGGAAACTGGTTGAAGGAATAATTCAGTTCTTATTTTCCATAAACCATGAGTATATATGTTCTTGGGCAGGTCACTCTCTGAAACTCTCTGGATTACAGTTCTTTTATCTGCACAGTGAGAACAATTGAATTCAATGACTCAACTAAAGCACATTTTTTTTTCTGATATTCTTTGGTTTTGTGAGATGGTACCCTTCAAGAGTAGGTAAATGTGTGCAATAGAAGTGAAAGACATTCCAGATATTGGGTAACAAAGAATGTTTTTAGGAGATATTTAGAAATGTTAACCATTAGAGTTAGAGAATTTCATCATACTAATAATTTCCCTTAAAATAATTGAAAAATAAGAGATTACCTAGTACTTCTAAATTATAATAGGAAACATTTTATATATATATATATTTTCTGTTGGTAACTGTAACATAATTTCCTTAGTTTAATTTTCTGATAATTGAAAATGTTACTTGAAATTTAATCTGAGTTTTAATGAAAATTAATAAAAATTGACATATTTTTATATGAAAAATTAGAATGTGAGAAACTTGAAGGACTTAAAATTGATTTTTCTAATATTTATTAATTTTTAAATTCCATCTCTATGGATTTTTAAATTTGTTAGTTTTTAAAATTTATAAAAAGATAGTCTGAATACAGTTTCCAATTCTCAGTCAACCAATTCTCAATCTGGAATCTAATCTTTTTTCAGTTCACTGATTGAAATCTTTATTAGTGTGGGGGTGAAGAGGGTTGGGTGAAGGGCGGTGTGGTGCCAGGAATTGAACCTGTATTGACTGCAGGTACGGCAAGTGCCTTAATGCCTGCATTATCTCTTCAGCCCTAAAACCACTAGTCACTTAGAATATTAGACATTTTTCAGTCTGTTTTTTTCTGGATTTGTGTCTGGACTACTGCTCTTACTATTGTACTTTAAAAACTACTTTCCATTTTAAGATGAATTCCCCATTGTGTTCTGGGAACTCTGCTGATTTTTCTCTTGCTTTTTCATATATTTTGCTGTTTAACTGAGTTCTGTCCAGTGATTTTTTAAAACATTTTTTATTAGTGAATCACTGTGGGGTACAGTTACAGACTCACAAACTTTTGTGCTTGCATTTCAGTCATACAATGATCGAGTACCCATCCCTCCACCAGTGCCCATTTTCCACCACCAATGATTCCAATATCCCTCCCACCACCCCCATCACATTCCCCAACCCTATCCCATCCCCCACCCCACCCCGCCTCTGTGACAGGGCATTCCTTTTTGTTCTCTCTTTCCTTTGGGTGTTGTAGTTTGCACCAGAAGCATTGAGTGGCCATTGTGTTCGATCTGTAGTGTACATTCGGCTCGCATTCCCGACCCGAGGTGGTCCTCCAAATACCCTTTACTTGGTGTTCCCTTCTCTTTATGAGCTGCCTTTCTCCCTAGCATTTGAGGTCAGCTTCCAAGCCGTGGAGTAAACCTTCTGGTCCTTATCTCTACTATTCTTGGGTGTTAGTCTCCCATTATGCTACATTATATTCCACAGATGAGTGCAATCTTTCTATATCTCTCCCACTATTTTTGACTCATTTCACTTACCATGATACTTTCCATGTTAATATATTTATATGCAAATTTCATGACTTCATCTTTTCTAACAGCTGCATAATATTCCATTGTGTATATGTACCAAAGTTTCTTTAACCAGTCACCTGTTCTTGGCACTCAGGATTTTTTTCAGATTTTGGCTATTATAAACAGTGCCACAACGAACATAGAAGTGCAGATGTCATTCCTACTATACCCTTTTGCCTCTCCAAGATATATTCCCCAAAGTGGTATAACTGGGTCAAAACAAGGCTCAATTTCTAATTTTTTGACAATCGTCCGAACTGTTTTCCAAAAGGGCTGAACCAGTCGGCATTCCCACCAGCAGAGAAGGAGATTCCCTTTCTCCTCACATCCACATCATCACTGGTTGCTTTTGTTTTTTGGATGTGGGCCAGTCTCTGTGGTGTGAGCTGATATTCCATTGTTGTTTTGATCTGCATCTCCTTGATGATTAGTGATAAGGAGCATTTTTTCATGTGCCTTTGGCCACTAGGATTTCTTCTTTGAGAGAGTTTCTGTTCATTTCATTGCCCCATTTTCCTATGGGGTTGGATGTCTTCTTTTTGTAGTTTAACTAGTACCTTGTGTATCCTTGTTATCAACCCCATATCCAATGGGTCACTGTCACTGTCCTCTTGTTGTTCATCAAGCGGGCCCAGTAACATCTCCATTGTGAGACTTGTTGTTACTGTGTTTGGCATATTGAATACATCATGGAGAGCTTGCCAGGCTTTGCCGTGCGGGCAAGATACTCTCTGTAGCTTGCTGGACTCTCCGAGAGGGGCAAAGGAATTGAACCTGGGTTGGTCGGGTCAGCTCCGTGCAAGGCAAAGGCCCGCTGTTGTATCGCTCCAGCCGTATTGGGTAAATATCCTTTCCCATTCTGTTGACTGTCTTTGTATATTCATCACTGTTTCTTTTGATGTGCAGAAGCTTCTTAGTTTAAGAGAGTCCCACTTGTTTATCTCTGTTTCCGCTTGCTTGTGGCCAATGATTTTTCTCATTTGGTCATCATCATTGTTTGGTAGTCACATTCACTTTTAATGTTTCAATTACTACCCGTGTGCACCTATTCCACATATAGATATCTTCAGGCTGTTCTCGTTAGTCCAGTATTGAACTGACTGCTGAATATCTTTTCATTTATACTTTTGAACTCATTGTGTCCTAAGCTGAAGGTAATTAAGGTAATTTCAACATTTTCCCCAGCTGTTGTGAAGTTGTGGTATAAGTTTCCATGTCTGGATTCATTTCATGGGTTTGGTGGGGAAAATTGGGAAATGGATTACCTAACAATACTAAGAGGCCATTTCTGGCTCTTGGCCATAGAACATACCTAGCAGTGCTCAGGAGACTATATGCAATAGTAGGATCAGCCACATGAAAGGCAAGCATCTTACCCCAAATTAACAAAGGTTTTTTTTTTTTTGGAAACACCTGGAAATATTCAAAGGCTGTACTTAAATTCTCTACTGGTGGTGTTCTGAAGACCATGCAGTACCTAGGATCAGACTCAGGTTTCCTGCAGACAAAGCTTTTGCTCT